AAGCATGTAGTTATTGAAGAAGTCGACAAAGTCAAAATAGTTAACTTAGCTTAGTTTAGTTAGTTATTTTTATGAATAGTAATCTAATATATAAATAGAAAGAAGATATATTTTATTTATAACTAAGTGAGAATATCAAGTGTAAGAAAGCATTATATATAAAATCATTCTTTCCAAAAAATATTGTCACTTGATATTCTCACTTAGTTATAAATAAAATACATTTGAAAATCTACGCAATGCTTTTTTATACTTGATTTCAAACTTATACTTACTAGATATATCTGAAAATATAGTAGGAATATGAAAATCGTAGTTAAAAATCTTAGGCACATCAAGTGAAAATATAAGTGAGAATAGTGAGAATATGAAAAATTAATTTATAACTACGATTTTTTTGCGGGGGGGGGGCAAAAATTTTAGGCACATGCCTTCAACTACGATTTTTCAGATTTTTCATACAGACTGCTAGACATTTTAAATTTATAACTAGTAAGTATAAGTTTTTAGCGCATTTTTTAGTTTATACTTGATTTTTCATGCATTTTTAGAAATATCCTAAAAATCACATATTTTGTAGGTAATTTATCGGATTTTCAAAAAAAATTGGTAGAATCTGTGCATTTTTAACGATTATTTTAAAACTTCCGATAAAAATGCACACTTTTTCAATTTTTTTTGTAAAAACCCGGTAAAAAAAGCATACGTTCTACCGGTTTTTTTTTAAATCCAGTAAAAATGCATACGTTCTATCGTTTTTTTGAAAAATCCAGAAAATGTTAAGCATTATTACCGATTCTTTTGAAAAATCCGAAAAGCTTCATAATGATATCGGATTTTTTGAAAAATCTAGTAGGTTAAATTTTTGTCTTATTTTTTAGTGAAGACCATATGATCAGATGGCACAATTTCTTTTCGCCAACGTGATAGAGCTAAAGGTGCCAAATTCCACAATTTAACTGATGCTTCTTACTTTGTTTGTTACAGGACTTAGTTCCACTAAAGGTGCCCACCCATGGGTTGAAGCTGAAGAAGTTCTCAAATGTTGTGATGCCACGAGAAGTGAAGGCTATTAATGAGGATTACGGTCTCTTTCCACTAGTGGGCTGTTCGTTGACCATGCTCGAAGGTGAGTTGTTGACAGTCTTTATTGAGCGATGACAGAAGGAGACATCTTTCTTCCATGTTTCATTTGGTGAGATGATGATTACATTGGATGATGTCTCCTCTTTGTTCCATATTTCATTGGCAAGTAGTTTTTTCACCACTACTCTCATTAGTCATCTTTCACGTATGACTGTTGTACGCGACTTAGGGGTTATTGAATACCAGGTGATATAGGAGCTTAGCTTCTGTAGGGGTGCTCATTTTCTCCTATCTTAGCTGCAGGATAGATACGACGATCTAGTGCATCATCGTATGTATGAGGCAGTCGCTAGGATGTACATGCTACATTTTGTAAGATGTATTATCTTAGCGGATAAGTCTCATGTATATATCAATGTGAAGTGCATGTGGTTGTTTACTCGCTTTGAGCATTGCAACTGGACATGGGAATGTGCTGCATTGATTGTTTTATATGTTGCGCTTGGAGAGGCGACGATTTTTTAGACCAGGCAGCTTGTCGGTTATATGAATCTATTTCATGTATAACTAAATTATTATTTCTTATTATGTTAGTTCTTTTTATGACATTTTTCTGGTTATTTGAGTCTTTGTTATTGTACTGTGTTGGATATACGAGCATTTCTCATTCATTTGTGATAAGCAGTTGTTTCTACCACTGCTGAGTCCCACAGGCCAAAAGATGGAGGGGCAAGCATGCACACCGAGAGATGTTGTGGAGTATAGGACGAGAATTAATGTTGATTATAGAAAATGCCATCTAGACACCCTACACAGACCATAGAGTGCATTAAGAGTTTGATGACAATTCACTTTTTTTGGTTATCTACGATGGGAGACGTTAGTGGCTAGACACTTACCTGAGAGATATCTGCGCCAATTTGGATATGTCCAGAAAATTTCACGATCGGTCCCTTCTATTCCATCTAAGGACATTGATAGTTGGTTTGTTGGTCACATTTTCGGTTCTGCATGTGCCATTAGAGATCGTGCAGTGGATGTTCAGTTCCTTGTGAAATGTGTGGATCGGTACTTGGAGTGATACCTTATTGTATCACACTCTCGCATCATCCCACCTAGGAAGCATAGAGATGATATTGGACCTTCTCGTGTTGGATCTTATCATGTTGATGTTGGGGTACATTTTGATGACGTGTCGTCGCCTCCACATGGTACGCCTGCAAAATGGGCTACCCGGCCCTAAAAGGGTCGGCCCTGGTGGGCTCTCGCTTTTTAGGGTTGGGCCAAAAGCTCATTTCTAATATGGACTAAAAAAATTACTACCCGAGTCCAGTCCTATAATGGGCTTTGGGCTACCGGTCCTAGATGAACTTTTTTTAATAAAAAATAAAAATAAAAATTCTATAATATTTATTAAAAATAAAATTAAAAAATTATATTATTTTAAACAATATATTTTTAAGTACTATATTATCTTTTATAAATACTATAAAGTGTTTTTAAATACAATACATGTCTAAATTGTATAAAATAATACTCAAATATTTAACATAAGAGAAACTAATAGTATACGAGAAAAGAGTGTTGATTATATTAATGTATAATATTTAAAAGAGAAAGATTGATATAATTTTGGAGTAAGACAACATAAGTATTAATATAGTTTTTTAAAATTTATAGCAATGTGGGCATAATGGGCTACCCACAACCCATATGGGCTAGCCCTAATGGGTAGCGGGCTTTTTAGAGTTGGGCTAAAAAAAACCTGGAAAATATGGGCTCTAATTTTAAGACCCAAGCCCTATGATTTTTCGGGTCTGGTGGGCCGACCCATATGGGCTAGCCCATTTTAACAGCTCTAATGCTTGTAGATAATCGCGTGGGTTTGGTGAACCCAGATGGTGAGATTTATACTTTGGCATCGCAGGTAGCACACGTAGCCCGTGGGATCCTATTTAGACCTTATTATTATTATTTGTATATTATGTGTAGTATTACTCAGACATTTGCACAACATTGTTTATTAGATAACATTTTGGCACTTCCATTGATGCAAGATGAACATAAATTAACATTTCGCAAACAGTTACATTATTTAGACAGGAGGTTACATAACTTAACAAAACAATAATAAATAAGAAAACCTTAACACTACCAGATGATTCAGGACGTTTCAACATATTGATTATGTCGTCGACAGATCTAAAAATTATCACATCAAACTTAACCAGTCCCCTAGGTAACCTATGGTGATATGTTATCCACATAACTTTCAAATCTTCATCGGTCTTCAACTCAATAAGGTCATATTTCACCCTTCCATCAGTATCAATCCAGTATGCACGAAACTCGATCTTACTCACATTTTTATGCTCAGTGTCGGAAAACATATCATTCAACTTGGATCTTAGAACAACGAGACATATAGTCCCCTACAAGAGACGAAACATTACAAGAGATTTCACCCCGTTGAAGAACACTTCTGCCTTGACCAAAAACTAAGACATTGTAAGGTGTTTCCTTTTACAACACATAGCCTCCTATTTATACAACTTTGAATTCATTTTAGAACACATTAAACAGTCGGCGCAATCACAGCTATAGAAAATCATCAACAAAATCTCAACCATTAACAATGCTTAATTTTTCACTAATCGACAAAAAATTCGATAAGTAACTAATGTTTTAGAAAAATTGATACTTGAAAGCTACCGAATTGTTCATGTATAATAAAAAAAATCCGATAAAAATAGGTACTTTTCAAAAAAACAAATCAATACCAGATTTTTTAAATATTCGGTACTCCAAATTTTTTATAAATACACTACCGTTTTGAAGTACTACAAGATGTTTTGATTGTTCTACCGGATTTTTCGTCTGAATTTTTTAATAAAATGTTTAACATGATAACATAAGCATTATGAAAATATGTGGAGGTATTATGGAAATGTGTGGGGGTAATATTGAAAAATGTGGGATGTCATGATAAAATCTACTATAACTATGAACCAATGAAGGTAACAGTCCAAAACTACTTTAGCCAAATATATAGAAAAAAAACCTTATGTAAAATTGTTGAAAGTGAAGTAGAATACAAAATAACAAATTATAATGTGTTATATATTGTTAGAAGGCTGGATCATTATAAAAGCTTACTTTTCACTTTTTATGAATTCTAGATGTAACAGTAATTACTAAATGGCAGAGAGGAGTATGAAAAAAATCTACGTCACTCAATACTTATGATTGCTACTTAGATCAAAACTCTAGTATATATGAGACACCTCCATGCTCATCATATTTTTCATAATATTTACTGTGCCCGATGAATCCATTACCTTTCATCATCCCCAAACTCTTGACCCAGCCCTCTGAATTCAATGAATCCACCATGCAGGCAGTGTTACTGCATTTTCTTCATACCTACCACAAGTCATCTCATTTTGTTGTTTCAGAGGATTAAGCACTCATGCAGTGAAGTTCTGCTAGACATTAGACAATTTAGTTTTGACATTGCCATAATCTTTACTTCATATTTTAAGAGTCTATATTTCCAAATACAAATTTGAGAGAAAGGAAAACATAAATTAAAGAATACTTGAGACTCAAAAATACAAGCAGCTGCATCATTTTGTGTCGATATTTTTCTCTATACTTAAACAAAAGTTAACCGATCTAATAACTCAGATATCGACTTTCCATGGATCAAACTGAATGTAACTAATGACTTCAGCACAAGTGCAGGTATATCATTTGGTCATACTTTCTACAAAGAACCTGAAAGTTACTTCTGAATGAAGAAAAACCCACCTTCCTGGAGGACAGTATCAAAGAGCCGTGTTAAATTTCACTTATTTGTTCACAAGACTCCCTTGGGTTAAGCAGAGTATCCTTAAGAACATGCTGCAAACAATTTAAAGTTCCGGTGTAGTCACCGGTGGTGGGCGGTGATTTCCTGGTCTTGATGTCCATGCTTTGCGACTCCTGTACTCCTCTATAGCTCGAAGTCTAAGTCTCTCATGAGAAGCATCCTGTGAAATCTTGACTCCCTGAGCAAAACAGTTTTCGCACAAATAAGTATAGCATGATCCCTTGGGTAAAGCTAAGAATTTCAAGTGCTTACTTTTGGAATGAAAGATAACTTTGGTGGGGCTTGTACAATATCTCCAAATTTTATTTTTTCTTTTCCAGGAAAGTCCAAAATTTCATCTTCTTCAACCTTTTTGTGCTTCTTCTTTTTCGCTTCATACCTGAAGATTTTACCATGATTAGGATTAGAATAAGCTAATGTTATGTGCTGAGTTATTCATTCAGCAAAGAAATTTCACAAGTTCAATTTCAAATGCCATATTAGGCACACCAAATGTAACAAAAAAAGTATTTATATCAGTGTTATTAATGGCGGATCGCCAGAAATCAGATATGAGAAATAGTGGATAGCGTAATGGATCAATAACAGAAGCCGCAATGCGGTTGAAATATAAATAAATGTATATACAATTAAGCCTGTTGCACACAAATAAAAGCTACATAAACATAAATTAAGAAAGTCATGACATAAAACTCAAAATCTCAATATTTCAAACAACTGATAAAGCATGATGCATAATTGCATACATTGCATTGCGTGAAGGAGATGAAGTGAAGAACAAAGAGGTTACTTCTTCTTCTTTGATGTGATGAACTGTGTCTTTACCTAGTTACTGGCTTTATTGCTTTAGGTAGTATATATCTTAAACGTATTGTATTTTAGATTTTTCAATGACTAACATATCTCTGTACCAGATACTTATCGTGTCCGTGCTTCATTGCCACTAACCTAGTCACCACTTAATATTTTGAACTTTTCAATTTTAAAAAAAGTTAAACTTAGGGTTTTTGTAATTTTTTTATGTTTTAAAAGTTCGGTCACCACTAAAACACAACTACGCTATTAATTTGTACTGGTGTAACCAACATATCAAAATGCACCGATATATTGCAAATAGCAGAGTAGACACATTGTATCAGTCACGGGGATCATTAAAGAACCATGGATACAGCCACAAATTCTTCATGTTGCAATATCTCAAAGATTTGATACTTGTTTTGAATGCATCATTGGAAATTTAAAGGAAATGCAACAGCAAAATAACTGATTTGATAAAAATAAACTGGTAAAAAAAACATAGAAACTACATATGCATCACTCTAAAATCATTAAAAAAGACTAATAAGTATGGTTTAATCCACTTACTTCTTTTTGCGCTCCTTTTTCTTTAACTGTGCATTCGTTTTATCCCCATCTATTGCAAACCTGAGATCTTTAACCTCCTTCCTCTTTCTTTTTTTCTTATTCTTATCATCATTTCCACTAAGCGGTTCATCACTGTGTTGACGTGCCTTCAATGGTGCACTAGTATCCACCTTAGTATCCACCTATTTCACATGAAATTCCAATACTATCCGTCATTTAAAGAAATACCCTACCCAAATTTTTATTCAATACAATAAACATCACTAGAAAAAACTTCATCATTTATCGAGAAAAAAAATTTTCCAATGACACATACACCATTAAACTTACTCTGTTTTAACATTGCAGCAATTTTTTTTTTGTTAAATAGATTGAGAAAACTATTTATCACTTCAGTTGCAACTAGAGCCAAGAGTTAACATAAATTGAAATAACAACATTTTAAATTAAAAATCTAACATATATGATAAACCAAGAAATTGGAAACACTGATTATGCAGAGCACAACAAATCACATAATAAATCTTCACATGCCATGTTCATATCCAACCGAATAATCATCAATTCATTCATAGTTACAGAAATTAAACCAATGAATGCATCATGTGCTTACATTATCATATCTATAAAACCCTATGCAACTCAAATTCAGCAATCAGATAGCAGAAACAGTATAAAGCTTACCTTTTGAGGATCACCACCATCTAATTTCTTTGATAAACCAGGAGAATCTGAAAAAATGGAAATGTAATGAGAAAGAGAAAATAAGAAAGTGAAGTAGAGAAGGTGAAAGGGAAAGAGAAAAACCGTTTTGGTTTTTAGAGAAAGAGATGATTTGGCGAAGTTTGAAGGGAAGAGCGTCGAGTTGAGAGGATTTAGGCGGTGGAGGAAGGGCGGTGGCGCCACCGTGAGCAGCCTTGTAGTTCTTCTCTCTCCTTTTTCTTCCCTTGCCTCCCATTTCCTCTTTCTGAAAACTCTCTCTTCTGATAAACCCTAATGCTAATTATTCATTGGAGTTTTTAGGAATTTTTCCAAACGATGTCGTTTTAGGGGTTTGAAATGTGTCAAAATGACTCGTGGGTATGAAACAAAATCAATTACTATTTACCTCGTCTCATTGTGAATTTCTCAAATATGAAAAAAAAAAAAAAAATTATTCAAATAACTAATTTTTTAAATAAATATTCAAACTAACCCACTTTTATATTAATTTTTTAAATTAACTTATTTTCAAAAAAAAAAAATAATTCAATAAAGAAAAGTCACAAATCTAATTGACGACAGTGTACAAACACGTAAAAACAGTTATTAATTCAATAGACGATAATATACAAACATAGAGGAGAGAGAATGTATATTGTCGCCGATTGAATTGGCGACTGCTGTTATGTGTTTATACACTATCTTCAGTTGAATTGACAACTTTTTTTTATTAAAATTTTATTTTTTAAAAAAGTGGATTAATTTAAAAAATAAATGGAAAAGCGAGTTACTTTGTGTATTTATTTTAAAAAATAAATTATTTGAGTAAAAATCTCAGACAATTTCTTTTTCTTTTTTCACTCATAGCAGTTAAATACACATATATCTATATAGGGTATAAATAGTTTTGTATAGCAGAATTAGTATGATATCCATGCTGAATTTAAAATGTTTTTAATATCTAAAAATAAAAAGAATAAAAAAAAAAGTTTATTAATTAAAATAAAATTGATATTGTATTAATAATGACAATATAATTATATTAAAATATTTATGTGCTAATATAAATATCAATCCAGGTATTGATGTTGTATAAATATTGATATTTTATTAAGGTATTTATGTGCTAATATAAACATCAATCAAGCAATGAGATCTATAATATATTTGATATTATAAATAAATTAAATAATTTGATATTATAAATTATTACGAGTATTAATTTAAATACAATATATTAATGTGATACTCATATTTCATATATAAATCAAAATATATTATGTCATAAGTTGTCTTTAATTCGTTGTGATTTCATGGAGAATTGTCTTCAACAGATATTTAAGTATATTGAATCCTAATATAAATACAAGTTTTCCTTAAATCGATTAAAAAAACACTATAAAAGGCACATATATCAAGTGGTAATTACTCATTTACTATCCGACCACCAAACAATGCATACATTTTCAAATTTTGTTTTCCAATTTTCTAATTAGAGGTGTGAATGAAAGTTGCACATACCAAAACAGAAAGTACATGGCAGGACAATAACTAAAGGAAACACGTTCAAAGAAATGAATTAATTTGTATGATTTCTTACTTTCATAAATAATGTTTGTTCTTTTGCACATGGTAGTTCATCTTATTAGTCGATTAGAACTTGAGATAAAGTAAAGACAAATGTATGTGATGTTGGATGTGAAAGAGGAGGAAGGGGTGTACCTGTAAGGCACTCCGATGTTAAAGTAAAAAAAACGAGTAAGAGAGAGAACAAGTACAGAATATGAGTGTTTCAGGGTGAATATTTTCGGGGCAAGATAATTGTTTCCCGAAGAATAGGTAATTGTCAGTAATAGTCGTTGGGACAGACAGACGTGCCTATAACTAGTCGTTGGCGCGGGCATATGTGTAGTTATAGGCACAAGCGTCTTGGCTGTTTCTGGATGGTGGAACCGTGTGTGACGGGCAGAGACTGACGGTGAGAAGTGTTGTGACCAAGGATAAATAGGTCAGCCTCCCCTCTTGGAGGGGCAGAAAGGTAAAATTTCCACCAAAGAGGTTGGACTTAGGCAATTGGGTCGTTCTGGGAGCATAAGTGGATTGGTTCATGTCTGGCCATTGGGCCAGTCCAGAACAGTAGACCCCTAAGTCGTTGCTAGCGGACACGGTAGTGATGACTTAAGGATGGTCTGCTTCCCCGGCATAGTCGCTGTGAGCTTCCTTGTGTTCGGATGAATAATTGCCCGGGCACTAGAAATATTGTTGTCGGGGAGCCCAACGGTTAATGGGATTTGAAGAGTGGAGATGCCACGTGTGCCTCGAGCCATGTGCTGTATTAAATGTGTGATGATGGCTAGGCTAGGGTCATGATGATGCCCTACCCGCGCATGCTCGTGCACGTGCCTGTCATTTGCCTATAAATAGCGAGAGGGTTCGTTCATTCAGAACTTTCACTTCTCTCTCTTCTTGTTTTCCACTCCCCGTCCGCCGCTTGCTGCCTTCAAGTTTGTTATGACCATCGTACGACGTCCGACCAGAGTTGCTTAGGTCCAAAACTTCTTCCTCGACCAAGAAGGCTTCGTATTCAGCCTGGTTGTTGGAGGTGGGGAAGGATGGTGTGAGCGAAACTTCGATGAGGATTCCCTCCTTGTTTTCCAGGATGACACCTGCTCCGCTTCCCGCCGAGCTGGACGCTCCGTCAACAAATATGACCCACCTGCGGGCACCCTCGTTCGGTTGGTCGGGCAAGGTCATTTCTGCTACGAGGTCAACTAGTGCTTGTGCCTTGAGGGCCTTTCTGCTATCGTACTGGATGTCAAATTCAGATAGTTCCAACGACCATTTGAGCATCCTTCTGGTCATGTCTAGACGGCCCAGTAATTGCTTTATGGGCTGGTCCGTGCGTACCACGATAGTGTGGGCCAGGAAATAGTGTCTCAGTCTTCTTGTAGCATTGATAAGGGCGAGGGTCATCTTCTCTATCTGTTGATACCTCAGTTCTGGCCCTTGCAACGCCTTGCTCGTGAAATAGATGGGTTTTTACCTGTCAGGGGTTTCACGGATGAGGGCGGCGCTCACAGCCTCGGTTGCGAGGGCGAGGTTGAGAAAAGGGGTTTCCACATTTTCTGGCGGGGAGAGGATTGGCGGTGTAGATAGGGCTTGCTTCAAGTGGATGGGAGCTTTGTCACATTCCTCTATCCATTTGAATACGGCTTCCTTGCGGAGGAGTTTGAAAAAGGGGAGGGCGCGTTGGGCAGATTTGGCTACAAAGCGGGAAAGCGATGCGAGCATCCCGTTGAGGGACTGGATGGACTTTTTTGAGTTCGGCGTGGGAACTCGGAGAATGCTCTGCACTTGTCGGGGTTGGCTTCAATTCCTTGTTCGGTTAGATAGAAGCTAAGGAACTTTCCTGCTCATACCTTGAACGTGCACTTCTCCGGATTGAAGCGCATCTTGTACTTTTGGCCTACTCGAAGACCTTCCTCAGATGGGCCGTGTGATCGGATTCATCGTGGGACTTCATGATCATGTCATCCATATAAACTTCGATCATGTCCCCGATTTCTCCTCATAAGACTTTATTCAACATCCTTTGGTAGGTAGCGCTGACATTCTTCAGGCCGAAAGGTATTACGTTGTAGTAATAATTCCCAATTCGGTCATGAAGGTTGTGTACCTCTTGTCTTTTTTTGCCATGGGTATCTAGTTGTAGCCCGAATAGGCGTCCATGAATGATAGCAATTTAAAACCGGCAGAATTATCGAATAGTTTATCTATGTCGGGGAGGGAATATGCGTCTTTAGGGCAGGCCCAATTAAGATTGGTATAGTCAACACACATGCGCCAATTTCCATTATTCTTTTTAACGAGTACAACATTGGACATCGAAGTGGTGTACTTGGCCTCCGATATAAAGTTTACCTCTAAAAGGTCTTTTACAGCCTGTTCGGCAGCCACCGTTTTCTCCGGGGACTGTCGTCGTCTATGTTGGGCAACTGCTCTAACGGCGGGGTCGATGGTGAGGTGGTGACAAGCCACATTGGGGTCTAACTCGGGCATCTCTGCGGTACTCCATGCAAATAGGTCTGCATTCTTCTAGAGGTATGCCATCAGTTGTTTCCTCGCTAGCTCGGGGAGACCGGCTTCAATCTTTACTTCTCGCTTTGAATTGTCGTCGAGTGGGACAAGCTCGAATTCTCCATCTGCAATGGGGATCATCGGATAGGCGGCTTCGCTGTTATTGTAAGGGATGCTCGAAGATAACTGGATCTCTTTCCCCTTTTTCCTCTAAGTCTTTTGGTCATCTTTGGAGAAGCGGTTGTCGAGGTCGATGGAATCGACGCGAGGAAGCGGATTCGTCTCGTCGGAGCTGCTTGGTAGAGGAGACTGAGGAAGAGTTTTCGGTCTGGCGGCATTTGTGTAACACCCCAAATTTATTGGAATATTTATTTAATTTATTTAAATAGGAATATTCATATTTTTGGTGATTTGCGGTGGTTGGTATGAAGTATTGAGAATTATGGATTTTGAGTTATTTATTTAAATAATAGTATATAATATGAATATATTGGTATTATTATTAATTTAAATAAATATAAGTGAATTAAGAGTAAAATTGACATTTGAGGAGGAGTTAGTGAGGGTGAAGTTGGAAAGCCCAATTTTAAGGCGCAAAGTTAGGTTTAACAAAAAGGAATTTTGAGGGAATTAGGATTCATTCTTGTTAGACCGTGAAAATGGAAGAAATAGAGGCCAGAGCTCTGAGGAAGATGATTGAGGCAAAAGCTTCGCGAGGTTTCCAAGAACTAAGGAGAAAGGCTTAGAGTCAGAAATTAAGGTATGGGGAGTATTGTCTTCATTGTTTTTAGTATGTGATTCAATGTATTTAAAGCTGATTTAAGGGTTTAAAGGGTTTGAGGCTGATTTGAGATAAAGAAAATTAGGCCTTCATGGCAAAAATATATTATTGAACTTTTAACCGTATAGGGGTTTAAACTGATGGTCTGATAGGTTTGAGGTTGATTTGGGTTTGAGGGAAAGTATGCCTTTATGGCCAAAATCTATTATTGATATTTTAACCGTATAGGGATTTGAACTGATGGTCTGATAGGTTTGAGGTTGATTTGAGAGTGAAGGAAATTAGACATTCGTGGCCAAAATCTGTTGTTGAGGTTTTCCCTGTAGGGTAATTAGATAGTGAGTACTCTAATGACCGTGGTGTAGATGTAAGGAAATTATGGGAATTAGAGGCGTAAA